GGAGGACAATAGCTTTATAAACAAGCACCTTGGTCCCCCTACGGATGTCCCGGTCCTCAAACACTCTCTGCTTCATTCGGGAAAATGCTGCACTCGCAGAGCTCAGGCGGTGTTGTATTTCGGTGTCGATGTTGACTTTGGTGGAGAGGTGGCTGCCAAGGGAGCGGAAATGGTCCACATTTTCTAATGTTACCCCATTAAGCTATATCTCTGGCATTGGGGAGGGGGTGGCTGGTGAAGCTCAGAGGATCCCACAGTTGGAAGGGACCCCAAGGGCCACCCAACCAAAGCCAGGCCTTCCTTGAAGGAATCCAGAATCCTTCAAGGCAGAAATCTCAGGAGGAGACCAGAGGAGGGGAGCCTGATCTCTGCCTGCAAAGTCCTGCCTCTGGCCACTCAGGCCATGCACTCTGCACATGCTCAGACCTGGTCTTAAAGAGCAGAGAACCACCATGCTGGAGGTGGCCTTTTGTCTCTTCCAGTGGTCCTGGGGGCTCATGCTGGAGGGAAGGGCAAACTGGGGTGCCCTGGAATCAGACCCTCTAAGCCAGGCATGAGCAAACTTGGGCCTGCCAGGCTTTTTAGACCTCAACTCCCACCATTCCTCACAGCCTCAGGCCCTTTCCTTTCCCCCCTCAGCCTGTGTGAGTGTTTGTTTTGAAGGTGAGGCTAGGTACTTCGGCCAGCAGCAACTGCCATGGCTGAAGCTCATTCACCCAACTGCTGGCACTAGAACAGGCATGAGCAAACTTGGGCCCTCCGGGAGTTTTACATTCACTTTGGAGCTTAAGAAGCGCAGAATCATAGAAGTGAAGGAGACCGCATGGACCATGTAGTCCAGGTATGGGCCAACTTGAGCCCTCCCTTCAGGTGTTTGGGGCTCCAACTCTCACCATTCCTCCCAGCCTCAGACCCCTTCCTTCTCCTTCTCCTTCTCCTTCTCCTTCTCCTTCTCCTTCTCCTTCTCCTTCTCCTTCTCCTTCTCTCCTTCTCCTTCCTTCTCTCCTTCTCCTTCCTTCTCTCCTTCTCCTTCTCTCCTTCTCCTTCTCTCCTTCTCCTCCTCTCCTCCTCCTCCTCGTCTTCCTTTTCCTTTTCCTTTTCCTTTTCTTCTTAAGCATCTGAGAGGGAAAAGGAAGGGTCCCAGGGCTATTAGGAAAGGTGGGAGTTGCAGTCCAAAACACTTGGCGGGCCCAAGTTGGCCCATGTCTGCTCTACCCCCCCCCCCCCCCATGCCACAGCTGTAGCCTCAGCCGCTGGATTACTTTGCGGCTGACGGAAGGGCAGCCAATCCCCGAGAGGCAAAGCAAGCTTGATTGAAAACCAACTCGACAGGCAGACAATTAGAGGGTGAGCGGAAAGGCCAGGGGGCTGACCCCTCCACGCCGGACTCCGGCTGGCCTTTTCCCGGCAGCCCGGGCTCTGCAGAGGCGCTTGGCCTTCTGTTGAACCGGGAGGGATTTTGTTGGAGCAGGGGGTGGTCAGAGCCCTGGCTGAGAAGGCCAAGGAGTGGGATGGACCAAACCAGCTCAGGCTCCAATGGTCACTTCCTCCTTGCAGACCCTGGTCAGCGGAGAGGAGGGTAATGCAGGTGGGGAGGGGGCTGGCCATAACGGTTTTGTGGAAACGCTGGTCTGGCTGTTAGGAGAGCCAGGGCCAAGCCTTCAGAAAGGCAAGAGTAGCAGTGGGGGGGGGGGGGCAGGACCCCATGGTTCTGTGGGCAAGTTGCCCAGGCACTTCCAGAAGAGCCGATGCCGTTTGAGGGAGGGACGGCACGGCTGGCACCAGGCAGCGCTTCTTCTGTCGCCGAGTTCGTGCCTCTCCCTGCCACTGGCCACAAGCAGCAGGACATGCAAAAAAAGAGAAGGAATTATGCAGAGCAGCACTCGCAGGATTAATTTCCTCTGTGTGGGAATGTTGGCAGCTGCCAAGATGGAGAGGCAGCATGCGCAGGACTCACTTGTGCCGCCACTGGTGCGCCTGGTCTTCAAGAGAGAGAGAAAGAGGATCCCGTTGTGGCCCCTTTGGCCGCTTGACCCCTTGGAAGCCCAGGCTGGATACCATCCCGTCCTTTTGATCTGCTAAGTGTTTGGATCTGCAAAGTGTGCAACCTTACGGGGCGCCTTACGGGAATGGGTCTTGGGGGCACTGTTTTGCAGTGGCTGGGGCGCCTTACGGGAATGGGTCTTGGGGGCACTGTTTTGCAGTGGCTGGGGCGCCTTACGGGAATGGGTCTTGGGGGCACTGTTTTGCAGTGGCTCCAGTCATTCCTGGAGGGCCGCACCCAGAAGGTGTTATTGGGGGACTCCTGTTCGACACCACAACCTTTGACTTGTGGGGTCCCACAGGGTTCCATACTGTCCCCCATGCTGTTTAACATCTACATGAAGCCGCTGGGTGAGATCATCCGGAGTTTCGGGGTGCGGTGTCATCTGTACGCAGATGATGTCCAACTCTGTCACTCCTTTCCACCTGCTACTAAGGAGGCTGTCGAAGTCCTGAACTGGTGCCTGGCCGCTGTGACGGTCTGGATGAGGGCGAACAAATTGAAATTGAATCCAGACAAGACAGAGGTACTCCTGGTCAGTCGCAGGGCCGAGCGGGATATAGGGTTACAGCCTGTGCTGGATGGGGTCGCACTCCCCTTGAAGGCGCAGGTTCGCAGTCTGGGTGTGACCCTGGATTCATCGTTGAGCCTGGACCCCCAGGTTTCAGCGGTGACCAGGGGAGCATTTGCACAGCTTCGGCTCGTGCGCCAGCTGCGACCGTATCTCGGGAAGTCTGACTTGGCCACGGTGGTACATGCTCTTGTCACATCCCGGCTTGACTACTGCAACGCTCTCTACGTGGGGCTGCCCTTGAAGACGGCCCGGAAGCTTCAGCTGGTTCAGCGCGCGGCAGCCATGTTACTAACTGGAGCGGGATACCGGGAGCATACAACGCCCTTGTTGTCCCAGCTCCACTGGCTGCCGATTTGCTACCGGGCCCAATTTAAGGTGCTGGTTCTGGCCTACAAAGCCCTAAACGGCTCCGGCCCAAAATACCTCTCAGACCGCATCTTGGCCTATGAGCCCACGAGGACCTTGAGATCGTCTGGGGAGGCCCTTCTCTCGATCCCGCCTGCCTCACAGGCACGTCTGGCGGGGACGAGAGAGAGGGCCTTTTCAGTGGTGGCCCCCCGGCTGTGGAACACTCTCCCTGCGGACATCAGGCAGGCGCCCTCCCTTATGTCCTTCCGAAAAAGCCTTAAAACATGGCTGTTCGAGAGGGCATTTAATTAAGTGCTATATTAAAGTGGTTTAGACGACTGGAATGGAACAAGGAATATGAGATTGGTGACGATTCTACTATGAGACGAAGCGGATCAGTTAGTGTAATTTTAGGATTGTTGTATTGTTGTATTGTTAATAACTTGTTTGATAATGTCTTTTTGTAACTTGCTTTTTATACTGTACACCGCCATGAGTCGCCCTGAGGGGCTGAGAATGGCGGTTAATAAATGCATCAAATAAATAAATAAATAAATAAATAAGAATAAAAGGTTTGTGTTTGTGGTTTGATGCAGAGGGGACCCTTCCTTATCAAGCAGCTGTGGCTTCCGTTTGGGGCTCCTCTCCTGCCTTGCTTCTGCTCCAGGACTCAGGTGGCCTGGCTTTAGTCCAGCCACTTGTTCTTGGATCTGCTTTGCAACTGTGGCTGAAGCATCTGGACAGATGTTAGACAGATGGCCGCTTCCTGAATGGCACCAGGTGCCAAGGCTTCCTCTCCTGCCACAGGAACCCCGCGACCACTCCACCAGTTGGCCTTTCTGCTTCTTGCTGGTGCTTCTTTCTTCTGGCCACTGGCTCGAGTGGCCCTTCCTTCCGTTCAGCCCCTGAGGGTCACTCCTGGTGTCTGCTGTGTCTCCCAGTTGGGCGGCCCTTTGTGCTGGAAAGCTGCCCTCCCAACTCCCTCTTCTTCCTTGGCCCTGAGTCTAAAGAGGTCAGGCTGCTTTTGCCAAAAGGACCATGGTATGCTGCTGGTGGGAGCGCACCTGGGCAGGTGTGCAAAGGAGGAGCGGGAAAGCAGCTCTTCTCCTCATTATGGGGAAGAAGGAAGGAAGGGAGGGAGGGAGGGAGGGAGGATGGATGGAGGGAGGGAGGGAGGAAGGAGGGAGGAGGGAGGGAAGGAAGGAAGGAAGGAAGGAAAGGAAGGAAGGAAGGAAGGAGGAAAGGAATGGAAAGAAGGAAGGAAGGAAGGAAGGAAGGAAGGAAGAAGGAAGGAAGGAAGGAAGGAAGGAAAGGAAGAAGGAAGGAGGAGGAGGGAAGGAAGGAGGAGGAGGAAGGAAGGAAGGAGGAAGGAGGAAGGAAGGAAGGAAAAAAGGAAGGAAGGAGGAAGAAGGAGGGAGGGAGGAAGGGAAGGGAGGGAGGGAGGGAGGGAGGGAAGGAGGAGGGAAGGAAAGGAAGGAAGGAAGGAAAAAAAGGATGGAGGAGGAGGGGAAGAAGGAAGGAAGGAGAGGAGGAGAAGGAAGGAGGAGGAAGGAAAGAAAGAAGGAAGGAGGGAGGAGGAGAGAGGGAGGGAGGAAGGAAGGAAGGAAGGAAGGAAGGAAGGAAGGAAGGAAGGAAGGAAGGAAGGAAGGAGGAAAAAAGGATGGATGGATGGAAGGATGGAAGGACGGAAGGAAGGAAGTTCCCCCAGCCCCAATTGCTCTGCCTCTTCCCTGCATTGCTTCGGAGCCGCAGACCCACTGCCACCCCCTTCTCAAACCCCCCCTCCCCCTTGTTCTCCTGCTTTTCCTTTCCTTCCCCTCAATGTCTCAGTATTTGCTAAACTGGGAGTAGCATAAATTATGCAAATGGGACAGAAATCCAGACGTGCTCAGTGGGCAGGTAACTGAATTCCATTGACTGCCAGCGGGGGCTGGGGGGTGAGTGGGCTGCTCCTGAGCCTTGCCCTTTGACCCCTCGGCCCCTCTGCCCACCCCACACACGCTCCTCATGCCCCTCTTCCTCTCCTGGCTGCAGGTACGCTATTGACCGCACCTCCGACCTGGAGCAGATCTTCGACATCGACCCCGAAACGGGTGCCATTGTGACCAGCAAGCTGCTGGACCGGGAGACGGCCGGCTGGCACAACATCACCATCCTGGCCATGGAGGCCGGTGAGTCAATGACGTGGGGGAGGAGGAGGAGGAGGAGGAGGAGGAGGCCCCATGGGCAGGTGTGACCCGTTTGGGCACGGCCAGCGGACACGGGTGCGCGTGTGTGCGCACGTGTGCAAGAAGGCTGGAAGTGTTGCTGAGTGGAGGAGGGGGTGGGCGGAGGCGTCGAAGGCCTCGTTGGGCGGATGCGTTAATGAGAAAGCGGCGGGCGGGCGGGCAGGTTGGCAGGCAGGCAGGAAAGGGCTGCCTCCCATGAATATTAATCAAAGCCGGGACAAGCGTGTTCCTGGCAGGATTTCCTGGATTTCTGCAAAGCCACGGCAGCGGCGCTTTGGGCGTCTCCTCTCTCAGTGGAGTCGGGCACCCATTCTCCTTTGGCCTTGCTCCCTCCGCCACCCCTCCATCATGAACTGCCCTTCGGACACCCCCTCCCCACCTGCCTCATGTAGATAGACCAGGGCAAACATGGCTCAGGAATGAGACGGGAAGCTGAGTCGATACCTGGGTTCTCCAGAGGAAGAGGATGCCAAAGCTGAAAGAAGCTGACACCATCACCACCACATCCTCCTCCTCTTCCCTTCCCTCCTCTTCACAACAATGCAAGATGGAAGAAGCAGTCCACATGCTTGTGGATTTCAATGGCTTCTCTGTGTAGCCTGGCATGGTGGTTGTTGGTGTGGTCCAGCATTTCTGTGTTCTCAAATAATCTGCTGTGTCCAGGCTGGTTCCTCAGGTGCTCTGCTATGGCTGACTTCTCTGGTTGAAGTAGTCTGCAGTGCCTTTCATGTTCCTTGATGCGTGTCTGGGCGCTGCGTTTGGTGGTCCCTATGTAGACTTGTCCACAGCTGCATGCACAAGCATGTGGACAATTTCAACAGAAAGGAAGAGACCATGAAAATGAACAAAATCTGGCTACCAGTATTAAAAAACTCTAAAACTACAACAGCAAAACAACAGAGAGGAAACAACCAGGCACAGATTAACACCTCCCAGCAAGAGATTTTCCCAGGCTCAGGCAGGCCTTCAAATGCTAATGAAGGTGATCAGCTGAAACATTCACACCTAACTGCAGCAGGGAAGAGCCCCTTGCCCCACCCCAGCCATTCCACAGATATATAAACCATTTTTCCTACTTCCAACAGACCTCACTACCTCTGAGGATGCTTGCCATAGATGCAGGCGAAACGTCAGGAGAAATGCCTCTAGAACATGGCTCTATAGCCCGAAAAAAACCCACAAGAACCTAGTGATTCCAGCCATGAAAGCCTTCGACAATACAAGCAGTGCGTTGTTTCAGGGGACCTTCCAGGCAAGGGGTTCCTGCCCTTCCATAAACAGACTTTGACTGATGTCCACAAGACACGCCAGCAATGTCAATTTATTTATTTGAAAGTTTTGTATCCCGACCTTCTCACCTCTCTTGAGGGACTCAGACGGTTTCCAACCATAATATCACATACAATTAATAAAACATACATATTACAGTAAAACATTAAAACAGCAATTACAATCAATAACTATAATGGTCAGTTGTCACACTAAAATCGTTGCTCATCATCCTCCATCCATATCTCAGGGTGTTGGCTCACTCATCGAATGCCTGTCTCCATAACCAAGTCTTCACCTGTTTCCTGAATGTCAGGATAGAAGGGGCGGTCCTGATCTCCAGTGGGAGAGTTCCAGAGTCGCGGGGCCACCACTGAGAAGGCCCTGTCCCTCGTCCCCACCAGACGCGCTTGCGAGGCCGGTGGGACCGAGAGCAGGGCCTCTCCAGACGATCTTAAATAATTTTTTTTGGTCGTGTCAGGAGCGACTTGAGAAACTGCAAGTCGCTTCTGGTGTGAGAATGGCTGCCTGCAAGGACTTTGCCCAGGGGACACCTGGATGAATTGATGTTTTTATCATCCTTGTGGGAGGCTTCTCTCATGACCCCGCATGAGGAGCTGGAGCTGATAGAGGGAGCTCATCCACCTCTCCTCGGATTCGAACCTGTGACCTGTCGGTCTTCAGTCCTGCCGGTATAGTGGTTTAACCCACTGCACGACCGGGGGCTCCGATGATCTTAATAATCTTGATGGTTCATAGGGGAGGATACGTTCGGAGAGGTAAACAGGGCCGGGGAAGGATTCCACAGCAAAGGCAAACCACAGTGTGAGTTGCGCCCAGAGGCAGCCCAGAGGCCAAAGTGGTCCATGGGAAAGGGCAACCGCGATGCGCTGGTACCATCCGTCACTTGCAGACCCAGGGAAGGAAAGCTAGGAGAGACCCTTCTCCTCCCAGGACTCATAAAGGGGAGCTGGCAGCCAAGTAGGACAAGGCAGCTTCCCTCCTCTCCTCCACGTTGGCCAAAAGATGCTCCTGGGAGAAAGATGCAGAGAGCAACATGGCACCTGCCAACATCACTGGGAGCAACATCACCGTCATATCCTCCTCCTCCTCTTCCCTGGGAGGGTGCCACATACCGCAGCCACCCCGGAGGTCCACCTCGCCATGCCCACGGCATGTTGGCTGTTGCGATGTTGCTCTCATGTTTAGCATGTTTAGCCTGAAGAAGAGAAGGCTGAGAGGAGATATGATAGCCATGTATAAATATGTGAGAGGAAGCCACAGGGAGGAGGAGGGAGCAAGCTTCCTTTGAAACTGGCAGGCCATCTGTCGGGGGTGCTTTGAATGCAATATTCCTGGTTCTTGGCAGAATGGAGTTGGACTGGATGATGGCCCAGGAGGTCTCTTCCAACTCTAGGATTCTATGATTCTAAGAAACTTCCTGACTGTGAGAGCCGTTCAGCAGTGGAACTCTCTGCCCCGGAGTGTGGTGGAGGCTCCTTCTTTGGAAGCTTTTAAACAGAGGCTGGATGGCCATCTGTCAGGGTGCTTTGAATGCAATATTCCTGCTTCTTGGCAGAATGGGGTTGGACTGGATGGCCCATGAGGTCTCTTCCAACTCTATGATTCTATGATTAAGAACTTCCTGACTGTGAGAGCTGTTCAGCAGTGGAACTCTCTGCCCCGGAGTGTGGTGGAGGCTCCTTCTTTGGAGGCTTTGAAACAGAGGCTGGATGGCCATCTGTCAGGGGTGCTTTGAATGCAATATTCCTGCTTCTTGGCAGAATGGGGTTGGACTGGATGGCCCATGAGGTCTCTTCCGACTCTTTGATTCTATGATTCTATGATTCTCAGCAGAGACCAACCGCCTGCAGCATCTTTCTCCCAGGAGCATCTTTTGGCCGAGATCAGTGCTGGCCAACGTGGAGGAGAGGAGGGAAGCTGCCTTGTCCTACTGACACCATCCGTCGCTTGCAGACCCAGGGAAGGAAAGCTAGGAGAGACCCTTCTCCTCCCAGGACTCATAAAGGGGATCTGGCAGCCAAGTAGGACAAGGCAGCTTCCCTCCTCTCCTCCACGTTGGCCAAAAGATGCTCCTGGGAGAAAGATGCTGCAGGCGGTTGGTCTCTGCTGAGAGCAACATCACACCTGCCAACATGCCGTGGGCATGGCGAGGTGGACCTCCGGGGTGGCTGCGGTATGTGGCACCCTCCCAGGGAAGAGGAGGAGGAGGATATGACGGTGATGTTGCTCCCAGTGATGTTGGCAGGTGCCATGTTGCTCTCTGCATCTTTCTCCCAGGAGCATCTTTTGGCCAACGTGGAGGAGAGGAGGGAAGCTGCCTTGTCCTACTTGGCTGCCAGCTCCCCTTTATGAGTCCTGGGAGGAGAAGGGTCTCTCCTAGCTTTCCTTCCCTGGGTCTGCAAGTGACGGATGGTGTCAGTAGGACAAGGCAGCTTCCCGCCTCTCCTCCACGTTGGCCAGCACTGATCTTGTGGACATCAGTCAAAGCCTGTTTATGGAAGGGCAGGAACCCCTTGCCTGGAAGGGCCCCCGAAACAACGTACTGCTTCTTCCATCTTGCATTGTTGTCAGTTTGGACCGGCTTTGTCTTACTTACTTACTTACTTAGGTGATCCCTCGTTGTCCGAGTAGGATAATCCTCCAGGGTGGGTCCGTAGGTGACTATGGAGCCCAATTCTTGATCCGCATCTTCTCCCGCAGTGAGGGCATCGGTTTCCAGATGGAAGGCGGCCCCGGTTGGGGTTGGCTTGATGCGCCTTCCTCTTGGCACGTTTCTCTCTTTCGCCCTCCATTCGTGCCTCTTCAAATTCTGCAGCACTGCTGGTCACAGCTGACCTCCAGCTGGAGCGCTCAAGGGCCAGGGCTTCCCAGTTCTCAGTGTCTATGCCAGAGTTTTTAAGGTTGGCTTTGAGCCCATCTTTCAGTCTCTTTTCCTGTCCACCAACATTCCATTTTCCGTTCTTGAGTTTGGAGTAGAGCAACTGCTTTTGGATACGGTGGTCAGGCATCCGGACAACGTGGCCGGTCCAGCGGAGTTGATGGCAGAGGACCATCGCTTCAATGCTGGTGGTCTTTGCTTCTTCCAGTACGTTGACGTTTGTCCACTTGTCTTCCCAAGAGATTTGCAGGATTTTCCAGAGGCAGCGCTGATGGAATCGTTCCAGGAGTTGCATGTGACGTCTGTAGACAGTCCACGTCTCACAGGCATAGAGCAGGGTTGGGAGGGGAATGGCTTTGTAAACATGCACCTACGGATGACCTACGGATGACCCGATCCTCAAACACTCTCTGCTTCATTCGGGAAAATGCTGCACTCGCAGAGCTCAGGCGGTGTTGTATTTCAGCCTCAATGTTGATGTCTGTAGACAGTCCACGTCTCACAGGCATATAGCAGGGTTGGGAGGACAATAGCTTTATAGACAAGCACCTTGGTCTCCCTACGGATGTCCCTGTCCTCAGACACTCTCTGCTTCATTCGGAAAAATGCTGCACTCGCAGAGCTCATGCGGTGTTGTATTTCGGTGTTGATGTTGACTTTGGTGGAGAGGTGGCTGCCAAGGTATTATTTATTTGCTGTACTTATAACCCACCCTTCTCACCCCACAGGGGGACTCAGGGTGGCTTACAAACTATGGCAATAATTCAATTCC